AGTGTCGGGGCAGTCCCCACTTCTTGCCTCTGCCACGTCCCACAGTGCAGTGCAGGTATCGTAAGGGCTTCCCCTGATTCTCCCAAGCCTTAACTCCTCAGTATGTTTCTCGTGGATTAGGGTCTGCAAGGATTCTGTGAGTGTCTCCTCTTTCCTCCATGCTGCTTCCGAGGGAGTAGATGGGTCCTGAGCTGAGTCAGTGCTTGTCCCGTAGCTGATCCGCCTTTCTCTCTGCCATCTGTTCCTGTATATTTATGGCCTAAGTTAACAACTCCTCCTCCTCCTCAGGGGAGGTTAAAGTTCATTTATCTTGTAAGTCTAAGCTCTTATTACTTATTAGGAAAGACTTGATGTTTGTTTTTGTTTTTGTTTTTTTATTTATCTTACATACCAACCATGGTTTCCCCTCCCTCCTCTCCTCCTGAAAGTTTTGAGTAAAGGTTTTTCTTAAACTTTTAGAAATCCTTTTGAAAGTACCTGTCCAGGTTTTAGGTTGTGTGACTGCCCTCGGGCTAGTGTTGCTACTGTGTGAGAGATGCTTACAGTCTGGAAAACTCTGTCCCCCAAAACTTTCCATGGCAGGAGTCTGCTCGTGCATGTTAAGGATAGAAAATGCCAGAAGCACTCTATAGTGTTTTCACTTTAGCACTAAACTACATTTACACATATTCCATATTTTGTAGGTATGTTAAGTGAACTTGATGTTGACGTAAATGAAGGATCCTTAATGGAGCTCCAGGGACACATTGGAAGATTTCAGGTAACGGACTACTGTCTTGGAATAGCAGTTTGAAGGTGCTGCCCCAGGGCTAGAGCGGCCCCCCTCAGGTGTTTCATGGGTTCTTTGAAGACTCTGAATGATGTGCATTGTTTTGACTACTTGGTTTTCCCAGTCACCTTCTGACTTCGTGCTGTTGGTGAAGATGGAGTGTCCTTATTTCCGCTCTTCTTCCAGCGTTTCCTAGCAGAACTCCTGAGGCTTTCTGTTTCTATATTCATGTTTAATGTTTCGTTATTATGGCTATGTAAATCTTGTTGATGAGTAAGCCATGAGCAACTGTGAATTTTACTATTTTGTTTACTTGTTCCTTTGTTTTCTGAGAGGAGTGTTGCTGTGTAGCCCTGGCTGGCCCAGAACTCTCTGTGTAGACTAGGCTGGCCTTGAACTAGCAGCAGTCCTCCTCTTTGCTCTGCTTCCAGTGTGCTGGAACTACAAAACGTGTCCCAGCACCTGCGGCTGCCACTTTTTATGCAGCATTTTGTTTTCCTACACTTGGCAGCTGTCCCTATCCCTAGCGCTCTCCTGACTTTCTGAGGTAGGTCTCCAGGAGCCAGTCTGGCCTTGAACTGTTGGTCTTCCTGCCTTCACCTGCTAAGTGCTTTACCTTTTTAGAAGTTGGTTTTTGTGTGTTATTACTAGTTTATCCCTATTCTTCTTCATGCATATATCTTTTTAGCATATTTAAACGTATTAGTTTATCAATTAGATATTTTATTAAAGGCTTCCTAAGAGCCTGCTCATCTTTGACTTAAACATTGTCCCCTCTTACTAGCTATAAAATAATTACATAGAAGAATTTACAGCCTGTTGTTTTTATATAATAATTTTCTTAACCAGTTCCCTTTTCATAATCCATTTTTCCAAGTTTTCAGAAGAAAAGTGTCGGCTCAGTAGATGAGTGCTCTCCTAGCATGTGCCCTGAGGCTCTCAATTTGAAACCCTAGTCCTGCGTAGATGATGACGACGATGAGTAGCTGACTCGTGTATCTGTTTTCAAAGTTGGATTTAATTGCATATATGGTTAAGTTCAAGTACATGCACATGCTATGTTTTGACATCATATTATTAAATAATTTTCCAGAAGGACTTGCATTCACCACCAACTATCTCCCCCAAATTTTCACCTCCCTCCCCCCCCCCCCCCCCAGAAAGGAGAAAAAGACCTTTTAGGTGGCCTCTGGGAATGTTGGAACATGTTTATTTTATCTGTAAAAGCAGCAAACACAGGAACGTACTGAAGATTTCAAGCTGGCAATATTTACATTAAAGTTTTTAAATTATTGCTTGGTTTTTTGTGTATGTATGCGCACACACATGTGCCATTGTATACAAATGGAGGTCAGAGGATAACTTATCGGAGTTTGTCCTCCTATATATAGGCCCCAGGGGCTAAACCCAGACTGACAGGTCAGGCCTGGCCTTTACCTGCTGAAGAGCTACCCCACAGGCCCTAGCATTTGCGTGTTATCTGCCTGTAAATTCCTAACCCCTCCAGGAAGTCCCCAGACACTGGAGTTACAGCCTTTAAGTTCCAGTCCTGGTAAGACTACGGGATTTGTCACTGACCATCTTGTAATTGCCTGTAAAAATGTGGTATTCATTTGTTTATTAACTTGTGCTGCTTTTTATGACTGTCTCATAAGAAAGTATTGAATGTTTCTTTATAGGACATAAATTTTCTTCAGAAACATTTAGGTTATATTGGGGGTCCTTTGAAAGGGAAACAAATTCCTTTAGAAAAAGGTGAATTTTAGCAAGCTTCCCTTAGTAGGAAAAGATATCAGGTGATTTCAAGAGTAATTCCACTCCCCACTGAATTTTTCCCCCTTCTACCTAAAGAAAAATGGGGTAACTAAGATGTTAAAGTTCTTCAGCCTGAAGTGAACACCGGGTCTTTTTTTCCTTAGCGCCAGTGCTTAGGCCTTCTAAGTCGCTTCGGTGGCTCTGACAGACTGCGGCAGTTTAAATTCCAAGATAATAATGTGGAGGGGGATCGGGTGAGCAAGAAAGATGAAATTGAGCTGGCCATGCAGCAGGTAAGAAGGGGTGAAAATTGTGGACCTGGAGTTTTTATGGTTTTGGAAATTTTGATAAAAATAACAGTTGTATATAATTTTACAAATTGATTATGACCTCATTTTCTGCAGTCTAAATTTCTGTGACTTTGGGGATTTTTTTGTTGTTATGTGTGTGTGTGTGTGTGTGTGTGTGTGTGTGTGTGTGTGTGTGTGTGTCAACTTTGGGGAATTTTTAGACTAACATTTGAGTTACTTCTTCTCTTCCATTGTAGATTTGTGCCAATGTAATGGAATATTGCCAGTCACTCATGCTCCAGAGCTCCCCTACCTTCCAGAATGCTGTGTGTCTCTTCACGCCTAGCCTTTCAGAGACCATTAACAGAGATGGACCACGGCAAGGTGAGCCGGAGGTGGGTTGGTTGATTGTATCTAAGGAAGGGAACAGCTCTGCAGCTTGGCTCCAGTGAGACGCAGTTTATTTTCGATGAATTACTAATGGGAAAATTTTAAAATGACTTTTTTTTCTTTTCTGGTTTTTTTTTTTTTTTTTTGAGACAAGATTTCTCTGCGTATCCCTGGCTGTCCTGGAACTCACTGTGTAGACCAGGCTGGCCTCGAACTCACAGAGATCCGCCTGCCTCTGCCTCCTGAGTGCTGGGATTAAAGACAAGCGCCACCACCGCCTGGTTTAAAATGACTTTTTAAAGAAAGTGTGGGCGTACTATTGTCAGATCTATGTGTGAAGATGGAAGCACAGAGGTTAGGGAAAGTCTTTGGATTTTTGAGGCTAAAACTAGAAGAGCCATGTAGGAGAGTGTAGTTTTAAATAATACTAGAGATCCCAAAGAAAGCACCTAGGATTGAAGAGAGAGCCAGGTGGGTGAAATGTATGAACACTCAGCAAGTTAACTGTATATGCTGAATCAGTTCGTGCTGAATTCAGAGTCTAAGTGGGTCATGTGTTACAGCTCCACATTTCTGTCACATGACAGTAAACTTTTAGGTGCTGAGCAGGCAGACTTAGCCTCTGGTGTCTTCAGAAGTTAGTAGCAAAGGCCAGGTAGCAATCCTGTGGGACACATAAAAGACAGAGACCCCTTTTGATTTAAAGTCACCCACCAGTGACTTTCTTCTTTCTGTTCTTTGAGACAGTGTTTTCCTGTCTACCCCAGGCTATTCATAAACTAAATTTGTAGCTCAGGGTGTTCCTAAACTCACTGTTCCTTTGCACCCTCACTAAGAAGCAGCAAAGTAAAAGGTAGGTTGCTGGGTTTAGCTCCCAGAGGGAGTTGTTGTAGTGAGACAGGTTAAAAATAAATCCGGTTCATTTTTCAAGGATTTCTTAGGAAGAATGACTTAAAGCTGTCAGTTCAGCAACCAGAACAGTGCAGATTAGAGTTAAATACATCTAACTACAACCATTGGATGAGGTGAGCATTGCTCACTTTGGGTCAAGAACTCCTGAAAGTGTGTGTGTGTGTGTGTGTGTGTGTGTGTGTGTGTGTGTGTACACACTACCTACCTACCTACCTACCTATCTATATCTCTATCTCTATAGTTTGTGGGATTGGAGCGGTGGCTCATCAGATAAGAACACTTACTCTTCTAGAAGAAGACCCAGGTTCAAGACATAGCACCAATATGGTAGCTCACACCATCCATAGGCATGGCACGGTGCACATATATACATGAAGGCAAAACACTCATACACATAAAATAAATCTTTGAAAAGGTAGATATAGTTTGTATATATGGGTGGGTGTGCCATTTTATAATGCCTAGATCTTCACCTAATAAAGGGTGCCTGCTAGCCGTATTTCTTTACTCTCTCAAGGACTCCAGCGGTATTTACGTACCTGACTACAGTAGCACTTAACCACTGTGTTTTGAACTAATGGGTGTTGGTTTATTTATTTGGAGATTGCTTTTTATTTCCTGTGCATGGATCTTTTGCCTGCATGCATATCTGCACCATTTGTGTGCAGTGCCATTGGAGACTAGGAGAGGGCGTCAGATCTTCTGGCACTGGAGTCACAGAAGGCAATTGTTAGCCACTGTGTGGGTGCCGGGAATCGAACTGGTTTTCCCTGGAAGAGCAGTCAGTGCTCTTAACCCCTGAGCCATCTCTCCAGCCCCAGCAGTGCTGTAAGTAGTTTTGGGTTGCCATTAATCATAGCCTACATGACTTGTAGTTTTATCTCGTGCTTTTACAGATGTCTTAACATTCATAGAAGGTTGTTTTCCCAGGGTGAGGCTCATCCATTGAACTCTAGATGTGCTGACCCTGTGAGTTCCCCAAACAGGAAACTCCACTGTGTAATTTGTAGTAGTAGAGGACTGCATTCTTGTTCTCTCTTTTTACGACAAACAAACGAAATCCGTAGGAAATGTGTCTAAGCAGAACGCTGTTTTCTATCACCTATTAGATACCCAGGTTCCCATGGTTCCGTATTGGTGCCTGCCTGGCTTGGGCATTATTGTCTACCTGCTGAAACAGAGCGCCAGTGATTTCTTTAGCTATTATGACAGTCACCGACGCAGTGTCAACAAGCTACAGAATGTAGAGCAACTTCCTCCAGATGAGATAAAAGAGGTATGAACCTTGTAATGAGCTGTGGGGCTTGAAAAGTCATTGCTGCACCAGCATGGGCTCAGGTACTCGGTGCTACGAAAGGATCTGCACAGATTTTCCTCTGCATGCACCTCATTAGCTCGGACCTCTTGACTTTAGGAGCAGCCAAGTGTCTCCTCCTGAAGAAAATGAGAGGGTGGCTGCCCCAGTAAAGAGCTGCAGAGAAACTGGGCTTCCTGTTGCAAATGTTTTTGCAGTAGAACTTGGGCATTTGTCTTCAGCATCTTCATGTGGTACTGAAATTTCCAAACAGATGGGATGGCATATCAGCCCTGATCGCTTTATGTCTGGCGCAAATCCGCCGTGCCACTTTCTCCGGAAGCTACCTGATGAATTCATGCCAGTTTTTCACCCACTGCTTAAAAAGGCTGTTTATTTTAATCTGATAGGATAATGAGGGCTGGCGGGCCGCTTGTGGGTTGGCAGTGTCTGTCTGTTGAGCAGACTTTCAAAGGCAGCAGGTAAACATTCATGTGGGACTTGACTGCTTCTTTAACTCTCATTTTTTTGGGTAATAAACTCTTGTCCACAAAGTTGGATAAATACATTTGAGTGTTTTCACAGTTCTTATTATAATAACCTGCTCATAGTATATTATTTTAAGTTGTTACAATTTATACTCTCTTTTTCTTAGTTGTGCCAGTCTGTGATGCCTGCTGGTGTTGATAAAATCTCTACTGCGCAGAAGTGTGTTTTAGCGAGACGGCGTCTGGTCAAGCTGATCAATAATCGCGCTAAGCTGCTGTCCCTCTGTTCCTGTATCCTTGTGCAGCCACAGCCCAGAGTGCAGACCCTAAACTGTGGCAGTCCTTACTTAATTCTTGCATCATTCAGCTACCAAAACCATATGGAAAGTGACCTAATTATTGTTTTGTGGCCTATCTTGTTTTGCCCAGTAAAAACCTGATGTATTTCCATATTGGTATTTTTATTCTCACCTTCTAGAGTAGCTAGGAGTACTATAAAATCTGCAGATGATTTCTGTGTGGGCAAGAGGCTGGTGGCACAGGACCCTGTGGGCCTCACCTGCCGTAGGCCACATTGCAGCTTTTTCTGAAGCATGTTCAGTGAACCTCATCCCTGTCATTTAGAGAAAGTTCATGGTGCGTAATCAAGTACAGGCTCTTCTTTTCTCCCCCTCGGAAACTGGTCTGTAAAAAACACTCGATGAGATTCTTCTTTAATCTGGACTCCAGTTATCATAGAGACCTGCCTGTTTATTCTTTGGCGCCATCTGGAGTACTACTTGTTACATTGCACTCCAACAGATTCCCAAGACTCGATGTTTGCCTCTAGGACTTTATTTAAAAGCAGAAGACTACAAGGTAAGCTGTTCTCAAAACAGGTGAGCCAGGAATGCAGACATTTACTGCCCTGAAAACCCAGCTGCCTCTTTCTAGTTTTGTTTGTTTTTTTGCAGCAAGGTCTTGTTTTATTTCCCAGACAGGCCCTAAAATCCTGGGCTCAATTGATCCAGCCTCCTGAGTAGCTGGACTGTGGATGCATACCACCAGCTACTCAAAGCAACCTTAAATTTTGTGTGTTTCAGATTACTCAGTGAATTGAGTACTAGAGAGCTAAATAGTAAACACAGTTGTTTTCTGTATTTTACTCTCTGCCCATGGGAAATGATTTTGGAGGCTGTTCACTGGTTGTCCTTCCTTTTCCTATAGTTAGGTTTGCCCCAGCTGCAGAGTCCCATCACAGCTAACTTTCCAGAAGAATAGATGCAGGCCGTTGTTCTTGTTCGGGGGTGGGCTCTGGGATGGAGGAACACGCATTAGACTCCTAAGGGGAGGGCGAGACCCATCGTGGACTGGGATGTACTTCCCAGGCTTCCAGTGCTCGAAGCCGAGTTCTGTGTGCTGCTGCCAGTAGGTGCCTCTGCTGTGCAGTAGACACACACGGGGCAGGGCTGCTTCACTGTGTCTCCTATTTCCAGATTCCTTTTCCTCAGAACCCAATCTGGACTTCAGAAGTGGGCTGGCTCTAGTGAGCCAACATGATATAGACCAGGTAAGGTTCTGTCCTCATCTTCTTGACTCTTTAAAGGGAAACTGGTTTGTTGATACAAGTAGTAATTGTTTCTGTTTATTCACTAAAGACACTGTCTCTTTTTTAAAGAATTATTTATGTGTATATAAAAGTATCCATGTATATGTATGTGCACCATGTGTGTGCCTGGTACCCTAGTAGGCCAGAAGAGGACCTCAGATCTCCTGGAACTAGAGTTAGAAGTGACTGTGAGCTGCCTGATATGGGTGCTGGAAACTGAACCCTGGTTCTCTGTAAGAGTAGCAAGTGCTCATAACAGCTTCTCCATCACTAGCCTGACACTTACTCAACAACTTTAAAAAAATGTTTATTTTTATTTTACTTATGGGTGCTTTGCTTGCATATACCTGGTACCCACAGAGGTTAGAAAAGGGCATCGGGTCCCCTGGAGCTGAAGTTAGAGGTGGTTGTGAGCTGCCATGTGGGTGCTGGAAATTGAATTCAGGTCCTCTGGAAAAGCTGCCAGTGAGTGCGATTAACCACTGAGCTATCTCCCAGGCCCTTAACAGCTTTTGATGTGGCCTTTAGGAGCTATGTTTTTTTTTTTTTTTTTTTGTATACCTCTCAGTTTGTCAGCATCAACAATTGTTTCTATTTAAGATACACCTTTAATTTATACACTGTTGTACAGGAATTAAAACTACAAAAGCATTCTAAGATAGAAATGTAATTTTTAATTAATTTGGTACCCCATTACAAACACCTGATAGTGTTTTATGTTAGAAAAGTGCCTTTTGTGAATGTTTGTGTGGGTAAAGCAGGCATGGGGTAATGGTGGAGCTGGGTTTCAAACCCAAGGCCTTCCTTGCACATGCTAGGCAGATGCCTGCCTCTGAAGTGTACTCCACCTTAGTCTATATAAGAAAGAGCAAATTAGAATAGCGTGGCAGGGTTTTAAGTGGAAAGACAGATTGAAATCCTGAGAAAGCAATGTAATAATAAAAGGTTTTCTGCGTCACCTCCAGCTTCAGTCTGATGCCACCAATGCCTTTGGAGAATCACTGCAAAAGAAACTTCTAGACATTGAAGGGTTATATTCAAAAGTTCGATCCCGCTACAGTTTCATACAGGCGCTTGTCAGACGGATCCGTGGCCTGCTGAGGATATCAAGGAGTTGAGAGCCATGCTAATGCTCTTCTGTGGAAGAGATGAACTGAGGAACATCTCCTTTTTATAGATGACTTTATTTCTAAATTATGACCAAAAGATATTTTGCTATTTCTTTCTTGATATATGGACATCTTTTCTGTAAACCTCTGCCTTATTTCACCCTCATTTGTGAATAATAAAATACTTTTTAAAAAATAACAAACGCATGATCAGTCTTTTGAAATTATTAAGACTCTTAACATAAAAATGTCTTGATGCTTATGGTTTTTCCGGAGAACTTCTGAATGCACAATTAGAGCAGTTTGTTTCAGTTGTGGCGTACGCCTCTGTGATGCTCAGACACTCTGTAGCAGAGTGGTTGATGAACTACAGCCATGCTCATGCTGCGGAAACAGAAATGCCTCAAAAACGACAAGCCGTCTCCTAAAGTTAGCTTTTGCCTTTCTTTCCTGCATTTCAAATGGCAGCACAATCCACATGGTTTCTTTGAAAGGATTGTGACAATTCTCAATTCTCAATCATCCACCTATATTCTCATTAATGTGGTTACCACTGAGGAAAAGATTACATCATCACTGCTCTCCCAAGTTCGCCATTAGAGGTACGTTTTCCCTTCCAGCAGCAACTTTAGCCTGGTAACTGAGGCTGCTGAGGGGCCTTAGGCCTGACTCACATGGACGCAGAGCGTTAATGTCAGTCCATGGTGTTATAGTTGATGGCTTTTTTTTTTTTT